CGAGCAGGAGGAGGGGGAGGGATTCATGGCCATCCTGCTGGAGGGGGACAGGAAGGTGGGGGGTCCTTCATCTGGGGGGTGATGGGCCCGGGGGGTCCGTCCCTTTTGGGTGGGGGACACCTTGGGTGTGCGATCCAGCCCTTTCTGGGATGGAGGGGGATCCTGGATGTGGGATTTTGGGGAAGGAGGGGGGAATGGACCTTGAGTGTGGGATCCAGCCCTTTCTGGGGGAGGGAATGGTTCCTGGATGTGGGATCCATCCTTTTTTGGGAGGGTGGGGGGACATCCTGGATGTGGGATCCATCCCTTTTGGGGTGAGGGGAGATCCTGGGTGTGGGATTTTTTTGGGGGGAGGGAATGGATCCTGAATGTGGGATCCATCCTTTTTTGGGAGGGTGGGGGAACACCCTGAGTGTGGGATCCATCCCATTTGAGGGGAGGGAAGGACCCTGGGCACGGGATCCACCCTTTGGGGAGGGGCAGGGGATTCCTTCCCCGGAGGGGGAGGGAGGGGGAAGCACCGGGTGTGTCCCCTCCCCTTCACCCCCCGTGTCCCCCCCAGGGCGCTGTCCCGGTGTCGCGGGGGATGGAGAACCTGCTGCGGGCGCCGCTGCTCCGGGGGGAGCCCGGGGGAGCTCCGGAGCCCTCGGGATCCCGGGGATCTCCCCCGGGCTGCTGGAGCCTGAGGCGGCCGGAGCGGCCCCGGCGGGACAGGGACGGGGACAGGGACAGGGACGGGGACCCCGCCGGGCGGGCCAAGCGCAGACGGAGCAGCATCGCAGGGACACGCGGGGAGGGGGCGGCGGAGCCGGTGGGTGATGGGGAGCCCCGGGGGGTCCCTGGGAGGGTCTCTGAGGGGGCTGGGCTGTGCCCTGACAGAGCCCCCCCTGACCTGGGAGGTCCCCCTGACTCCAAGGGTGTCCCCTGATTCTGGGGGTGTCCCCACTGACTTGAGGGGGGGAGTTCCTCTGACCCCAGGGGTGTGCCCCTTGACTCCGGGGGTGTCCCGCTCCCTCTGACTTTGGGGGGTGTCCCTGCTGAGCCCAGGGATATCCCTCTGATTTTGGGAGTGTCCCCCTGCCCCCGGGGTGTCCCCACTGTCCTGGGGTGTCCCACTGACTTTAGAAGTGTCCCCCATGCCCCCGGGGGTGTCCCCCCTCACCCCAGATCTCCCCCTGACTGTGGCATTCACCACTGACCCTGAGGTGTCCCACTTATCCTGAGGTGTCCCCCCCCAACTCCAAGGTGCCCTCCCTGGGGGTGTCCCCTGACCCCGGGGTGTCCCCCCTGTCCCCAGGGGGTGTCCCCTGACCCCGGGATGTTCCCCCTGTCCCCTGGGGCTGTCCCCTGACCCCGGTGTCCCCCTGTCCCCTCAGCCGGTGCGGCTGCAGCGCTCGCTGTCCCTGTGCCACGAGGCCCTGGAGCAGCTGCTGGCCAAGGACGACCAGGAGCTCATCGGGGACTTCTCCAAGGTGGGACCACCCAGACAGGGCAGCTCTGCCCCCCCTTCCCCCAAATCAGGGCCCCTCTGCAGGGCCTGGTCCTGGTTTAGGGACACGGGGACCCCCCCACGGGAGCTGAGCTGGTGTGTGTGTGGGGTCACCCCTGGGGGTCCCCCGGGGCAGGTGTGACCCCCGTGTCCCCTCCAGGCCCACCTGCTGCAGACGGTGCAGGGGAAGCACCAGGACCTGAAGTACATCTCCCCCGAAATGGTAACGGGGGGCAGCCCCC